CAGAGCAGTCCTCGAAAACTACCACTCTTGCCTCACCTTCAAAACCCTCGAAAAACCCGACTGCGACATCTTCGCTGCACTCCGCACGCGGGTCCAAACCCTAAACCCTAAACCCTAAACCCTAAACCCTGATTTTGACCTTCACAACCACAGAGCAGTCCTCGAAAACTACCACTCTTGCCTCACCTTCAAAACCCTCGAAAAACCCGACTGCGACATCTTCGCTGCACTCCGCACGCGGGTCCAAACCCTAAACCCTAAACCCTAAACCCTAAACCCTGATTTTGACCTTCACAACCACAGAGCAGTCCTCGAAAACTACCACTCTTGCCTCACCTTCAAAACCCTCGAAAAACCCGACTGCGACATCTTCGCTGCACTCCGCACGCGGGTCCAAACCCTAAACCCTAAACCCTAAACCCTAAACCCTGATTTTGACCTTCACAACCACAGAGCAGTCCTCGAAAACTACCACTCTTGCCTCACCTTCAAAACCCTCGAAAAACCCGACTGCGACATCTTCGCTGCACTCCGCACGCGGGTCCAAACCCTAAACCCTAAACCCTAAACCCTAATTTTGACCTTCACAACCACAGAGCAGTCCTCCGAAATTACCACTCTTGTCCCACCTCCAGAGTTTCTCCTAAAGGCTAAACCCTAGCTTTGAAACCCTAAACCCTAAACCCTAAAAGGGGTTTGAATCGTTTTTTGTTTCTTTTCTTCGCGTCACCTCTTCCCGTTCATTTCTTTTTGTGTTTTCCAAGATTTATTGATTTATTGATTTATTTTTATTCATTCATTTATTTATTTATTTATTTATTTATTTATTTTGTTTATTTATATTTAATTATTTTAGGAGTACCTGATGGTGCGGACTCAAATAATAGAATTGATTTTGGCGACGGACATGAAGGGCCACTTCGAGACTGTCTCCAGATTCAGAGTAATTTATTTTTCAGTTTATTTTATTTATTTTATTCATTTTATTTTATTTATTTTATTTTATTCTTATTGATGTATTTTAATTTAATTGAATTTGATGTATTCTAATCTGTTTCATTTGTTCGGTTTTTTATTTGATTTAATTTAATTTGTTCTAATTTGTTTTGTTTGCTTATTTAGTTGGTTAATTTTAGTTATTTAGCTGTCTTTTATTCCTTCAATTTAATTTGATCTTCTTTGTTTCAGTTTAATTTGATTTAATTATTTTTTTGGTTTCATGTATTCGTTTTATATACCTTAATTATTTTATGTTATTATGCTTTAATGTATTTACTTATTTATTTATTTTCATTTTAATTTAATTTGATTTGGCTTACTCGTTTATTTTTCCCTCAATTTGTTTAATAAGGTCTATTTATTTTAATTTTTTTATTTTATTCTGATTCAGTTTGTTCATCTTATTTATTATTTCTTGAATTTTTATTTTCAGTTTTTCATTTATTTCAATTTTCAATTTTAGATTTATTTTTCCCATCTCCCTCTCTGTCTTTTCTAATTTTTGGAAAAAAGCTTTTTAATATTAAAAGTATTTTTAATTACTTTTTGAATCCTTAAACACCATTTAATGGGTTTTAACTCATTTTAATTCATTTTAATCTATTTGAAATCATTTTAATCTATTTTAATTCATTTGAGTTCATATTAATTCTTTTTATTTCGTTTTATCTCATTTTAATTCATTTTATTTTGTTTCAAAAGTTTAATTTAGTTTGTTTTATTTGTCGTCTCAGGTGCGTCGGAGCGCGTTGGACTTTTTTGAAGACTTTTAATATTTGAATTTTTTTTTGGTTTCATTTTAATTCATTTTGACTTATTTTAGCTTATTTTAATTCATTTTAATTCGTTTTAATTTATTTTAATTCATTCTACTTCATTTCAATTCGTTTGAATTCATTTCATTTGGTTTTAGATCCACTTTAATTCATTCAACTTCACTTAAATTGATTTTAACTCATTTAACTTCTTTTATTTAATCCAAACTGCTGAATTAAATGCCCTTCAGGTGCGTCGAAGCGCGTCGGACTTTGATTTATTTTTGGAAGAAGACTTTTGGTTTTTTATGAAAATCTTCATCAAAGCTGCAGACATTTCCCACTGCGGAGTTGAGTGGAAACAGCACTTCTCCTGGTGCCAGCGGGTCCTCTGCGAGTTCTACGATCAGGTACTACTTTTGCCTGCATTTGGGGCGTTATTTGCATGCATTTGGGGCTTTACTTGCATGCGTTTGGGGCTTTATTTGCATGCATTTGGGGCTTTGGTGCATGCACCAGTGGGTCCTTTGTGAGCTCTAGGATCAGGTACAACATTTTGGGGCTTTTGCATGCATTTGGGGCTTTATTTGCATGCATGTGGGGCCTTTTCGCATGCAGCTGGGGCCCATCTTGCATGCAATTCGGGCTTTGTTGCATGCGGATGGGGCTTTGTTGAAAAAGATAACTTTATTGCATGCGACTTGGGGCTTTTATGCATGCGATTGGATGCGTCTTCGGGGCTGTAACGCATGCGTTTAACTCCATGCGTTTCAGATGCATGCATGCATGCATGCATGCGGTTAAAAGCGCACGTTTCAAATGCATGCGTGCATGCATTTTGCGGGCCAAAATGCATGCGTTTGGCGGGCCAAAATGCATGCGCTTTCTAGGCTAAAATGCATGTGTTTTGGGGCTAGATTTTTCTCTTTGACTTTTATTTTTCTTGCTGTCTTCTAACCCCTCTAAATTCTGCTGAACTCATTTTTTTGGTCCTTTTGTTTTTAATATAATTGGTTTTTAAAAATAATTCTTTTAAATAAAAATGTTTTCAAATAACTAATTTGGTCGTTGGGAGTTAAAACTGGTACTTTTTGATTTTCGGTTCTTTTCAGATTTAATTTCAAAAAATTAAAAATGCCATTTTTGGGATTTTTAAATTTAAGTTTTTGCTTTTGCATGCAGTTCGCTTCTATTTATGTTTATTATTTTTTTTAATTTATTTATTTTGTTTGAATTCATTTTATTTTACTTTTATTCCCTTTGTTTTTAATTTTGTTCTTTTTTAAATCAATCCGGGAAAAAAATGCATTTGGAAGTGTTTAATTGCTGCATGCAAAAATCTGACAAAGTCTTTCTCATTTTGTTGATTTAAATTGAATAAAATAAATAATTTTAATTCGTTAGTTAGGTAATTTCCATTAATTACTTGAATAATTATAAATTGATAAAATGATTAATCGACAAAAGGAATTAAATAAAATTGTTAAAAGATAATATCTGCTTTTAAATCATAAATAAAAATAAATACAAATTTGTGCAAAGGTAAATAATGAAAGTAAATAGAGTAAAAAACGATATACATCCTGAAATTTCACTGAGTGCCAGCAATCTTCATTTATTTTCTAATTTATTTATTCATTTAATTTTTTGCCAATTATTATTTTTTGTTTAATATTTATTTATGCACTATTCTTGTTTTACACAAATCCTTTGCCGCTCCTGCTTTTGCATTTGGAGAAATTTTGCGAAACCCTAAATTAGGGTTTAGGGTTTAGGGTTTACGGGCCGGGCCTTGTGGTGCGGAATGCTCTTTGCGTGTCTAGCATTTAGGGTTTGTGACTTGTTCAGTATTGTGTAGGGTTTATACTTGTTGAGGGTTTCTTAAGTGTGTGGGGTTTTGGAGTTTTGGTGATGGGGCCCGAACTCAAAGTTCAAAATTAAGGCTTTAGAGTTTAGGGTTTAGGGTTTAGGGCAAATGGTTTGGGGTTTTCGGGTTTAGGGTTTAGGGTTCCTGGTCAAGGATTACGAGTTTCGGGCCAAGGGTTTAGCGTCTAGGGTTCTTGGGAAAGGGTTTTTTTGTGTGGAGGGGTTAGGGTTTTGCGTGAAGGCTTCAGGGTTTAGAGTTTAGGGTTTAGGGTTTAGGGTTCCTGGCAAGGGTTTAGGGTTCCTGGTAAGGGTTTAGGGTTCATGGTTACGGGTGTAGGGCTCTTGGTCAAGGGTTCCTGGCCAGTGGTTTAGAGTTCGTGGTTAAGCGTATAGGGTTTAGGAGGGTTTAGGGTTCAGGGTTTAGGGTTTAGGGTTTAGGGTTTGCGTGTTAGGGAGACGAGGAGCGTTTGCGTTCTTTGCCGATATCTCCTTTATGCGATCGGGAGAAACATTTGGATGCAGCAAAAAGTCAATTAGGGTTTATAAACTTTGTCTCTAAACCCTTATTTGATGAGCTCGCTGCAGTGGATCTCGCGGGACTAATTGAGTAGGAATAAATAAACAAATAAGTAAAATAAATAAACAAATAAATTTATTTGTTTGTTTGTTTGCATTTATTTGGTTCTTTTTTCGTTTTTTGGTGTTTATATTTATTTATTTATCGCCAATTTAGTGAATTAGGGTTTATAAGCGTTGTCACTAAACCCTTATTTAGCGAGTTTGCGGGTCTAATCAATTCGCTTTGTTTAATTTTTAATTAATTTTTATTTTTTTGTTTCTTAGTTGTTTATTCATATGTCACTAATTTGGTTAATTGGGGTTTATTTGATAAGATATTCCCATCCTTATATATTAAATAGATAAATAATTAATTAAATAAAAATGAACAATAGATAAATAAGTAGACAAACAAATAAGAATAAATGAATAAACAAAAATAAAAAATAAATAAAAATAAGAGTAAATAAATAAATATAAATAAAGAGTAAATAAGCAAATAGGAACAGTGCGAGAAAGTGGAAAGGAGGAAAAAATGCATTTTAGAATAAATGAAATAAGCAAAAAATAATTTAATTCTTTACATGTGAAAAGGAATAAAATAAAAATAAAAATCAAATCAAATCAAATGAAATTGAATTCAATTAATTTAAATCAAAATTAAATCAAATTGTTTTTTTGTTTTCGGAAAAGAAACATTCAAAGCAAATTACGTTGAATAAAGTTACGTAAAATGATATCAAATGAAATTAAATAAAATAAAATAAAATCAAATTTATTTTATTTTATTTTGTTTTCCGAAAAGAAATAATGACAGACATTCAAAAGCAGTTAAACTGAATGAAATCAAACGGAATGAAATCGGATGAAATGAAATTAAATTGAATTAAATCAATTTAATTTAATTTAACTTAGTTTAATTTAATTTAATTTAATTTAATTTAAATTATTTTTATTTTGTTTTCAGAAAAGAAATAATGACAAACATTCAAAGCAATGCAGCAAAGTGGGAGGCTTTGAGCACTTCGGGTGTATCGATCCCGTTTTACCTGCAGCAGTTCAGCAGCAGCAGCAGCAGCAGCAGCGGGCTGTCGCCGCTGGCTGCTGCTGCGCTTGCTGCTGCTGCTACCAGCTGCCAGGCCACTGCTGCTGCTGCTGCTGGCTCCAAAGTGGACACAATTAATAAAAAAATAATTCAAAAACAATCTGAAGGAGCAACAGTTACAAAAATAGATTTGAGGCCTCTTTTTGCGCATGCAGAGCAGGGCCGCCAGCGCCACAGCAGCAGCAGCCACCAGGCTGCTGCTGCTGCTGCTGCTGCTGCTCCGTCCCCTGCTGCTGCTCCGGCTGCCGCGCCCGCTGCTGCGCAGGCGCCCTCTCCAGCAGCAGCAGCAGCTCCTCAAGGCAGCAGCAGCAGCAGCAGCAGCAACAGAACTCAGGGCGTTCCGAGGCCCCCTTTACCTGGGAGCACTTAAGCCTGTTCAGGCCAGTGTCGCTGCTGCTGCTGCTGCTTCCTGCTGCTGCTGCTGCTGCTGTTCTTTCTTGCTGCTGCTGCTGCTTGTTGCTGCTGCTTCTGCTGCTGTTCTGCGACGTCCCGTGGAGACAGAACCACAGCTGCAGCTGCTGCAGCTGCTGCAGCTGCTGCTGCAGCTCTTATCTGAAGGGCCATAGTAGATGGAACAGCAGCAGCAGCAACAGTAGCAGCAGCAACGGCAACAGCACTAGTAGCAGCAGCAGCAGCAAGAGCCACGGCAGCAGCGACAACAGAGGCAAATCTAGAGCAGCATTAGCAGCACAAGTAAGCGCAGCAGCACCAGCAGCAGCAGCAATTCTGCAGCAGCAACCGCAGCAGCAGCAGCAGAAGCAAATAGTGGCAGTCGCCCTGTCTGTCAATACTTTTACAATTAATAACCAAGTGTGCTGCAGCAGCAGCTGCAGCAAATAAACATTTATTTTGAAATTATAAATAAATAGTTCCGTGGGATTAAAAAATCACAGGTGGCTAGCTAGCCACAGCTAGCTGACCAATCACATCTAGCTAGCCAATCACAGCTAGCTAGCCAGTCACAGGTGGCTAGCTAGCCCCGTAGCTAGCTAGCTAGCTAGCTAGCTGGCTTTCTAGCTAGCTCCGTAGCTGGCTAGCTGCTTGTCTAGCACCCAGCCAGCTAGCCAGCTAGCTAGCTGGCTGCCCAGCTGTAAAGCCAGCTAGCCAGATAGCTGTCTCTTTGGACAGCTGGCTAGCCAGCCAGATAGCCAGCTAGCTAGCCAGCCAGATAGCAAGCCAGCTAGTCCACTAGCTAGCTGCCTGACTATGTAGCTAGCCAGCTACCCAGCCAGCCAACCAGCTAGCCACCCGGCTAGCTAGCCACCCAGCTATCCACCGAGCTAGCTAGCCGCCTAGCTACTAGCTAGCTAGCCAGCTGGCTCCTAGCTAGCTAGCTAGCTAGCTAGCTAGCCACCCAGCTAGCTAGCCACCTAACTACTAGCTAGCTAGCCAGCTGGCTCCTAGCTAGCTAGCCAAGGCAAGGGGGCTGAGGGGGTGTTTGCTGTTGGTGGAAGAGGCGGGAGAGGCCCAGGCTTGGGGAAGGGTTTTGAGTTCGAAGCGATCCGGCAAAAAAGGGTTTTGTTTCATTTTGAAAAGATCGAAAAAAAGGTACTTTTGAAGTTGCTGCCACTCCTCCTCAGTGGCGTACTGCTGCTGCTGCTGCTGCTGCTGCTGCTGCTGCTGCAGCTTTGCCTTCAGCTTGTTCTTTGTCTTGGCGCAAAAACGAAAAAGAAAGTTCGAAGGCACGTGCCGGTACAAACAAGTCAGTTTGTAAATTGTTCCTGAATTAAATAAAAAGCAAATAATTAAACTAGTTAAATTAATTAATTAAATTAAATTGATTCAATTTAATTAAATTAATTAAATTAATTAAATATAATCAATTAACTTGCCTGGCTTGAGGTTCTTGACTGTGACTTTCGTGGGCGATGCTGCAGCAGCAAAAAAGTTCACGGTCAGTTTGCTGCTGCTGCTGCTGCTGCTGCTGCTGCTGTCCTCCAGCAGCAGCTGCGCGCAGCAGCTGATGTTGACTCGCAGTGTTACGCTGCAGCAGCAGCAAACAAATGAAATTTTAACTTTTAATTATTTCAGATTAAATTAAAATAAAATTAAAACTATTTAATTCAATTAATCCAAATTTTAAAGCTTCAAATTTCATTTTCAATTATTAAGTCATTTAGTTCTATTTTCATATCTGCTAGCCACAAAAAGTAAAAAATAAATAATAGATAAATAAATAAATAGAGAAAATAAATAAATAGATAAATAGATAAATGAATAAATACATAAAATATAAATATGCAAATATATAAATAAACAAGTAGTTAAGTACAGAAGTATCTAAATACACATAAATAGAAATAAATAAAATAAATATGTTAATATATAGATATACAAATATGTAAATATATAATAAATATAAGTACATGCAAATATATAAATATGCTAATATATAAATATGCAACGTTGCAAATATATAAGTATTTAGAATAGGTAAATAAATATATAAACATACACACATTACAAATATATAAATATATAAATATATATTTATATTTAGAATAGGTAAATAAATATATAAACATATACACATTACAAATATATAAATATATAAATATATATTTATAAATATATAAACATATATTTATAAATATATACATATATAAATATCTAAGTATACCAATATATAAATATATATTTGTAAATACATAAGTGTATAAATATATAAATATATCAGTATAAATATATAAATATATATATATAAATATATAAACCTATAAATATTTAAATATATAAATATGAAGAAATAAAAAGAAAAAAATCACTCTTGGTGAATTCCCCAAAAAGACTAATATTTGCTTTATTTGTATATCTTTGGATTAAATTTAGTTATTTAAATTTATTTATTTAAATATGCTTATTTATTTATTTATTTATTTATTAATTATTTATCTATTTTTTTATTTTTATTTATTTAATTTATTCTTATTTATTTATTTTCCTCACTCTGCAGTAAATCGATTTTTAATTTCTATAAAAGGCGCCGCTGTCAGCCAAACTGCATCTGCAGGAGTTTTCTGCAAAACAAAAATAAATAAATAAATAAATAAATAAATAAATAAATAAATAAATAAATAAATAAATAGGTAAATAAATAAATAAATGAATAAATAAATAAATACGTTATTTAGTTAGATAATCGGTTTTTCAATCAATTAACTGTTTATTTATATTTATTTATTTATTTATTTATTTGTTTGTTTGTTTATTTATTTATTTATTTGCCTCACTGTTCGCTTGAGGGCCTTCTGGCGTCTGCCCATTGTGGGAAACAGTGAAAAGTAAATGGGCAAATAAAGAAGTAAATAAATAAATAAATAAATAAATAAATAAATAAATGAATAAATAAATAATAAATATAAATAATAAATAGTAAATAATGAAAGCGATAAAGAATCCGCTATAAAAAAGGTAAAAAAAGAACGAAAAAATGAAAAGACGAAATACAGAAAAAGAAGGAACGAAGATTCTTTCTTGATTGAAAAGAGCCAATTGTAGAAATAAATTTATTTGTTTCGAACAACTAAATAATTGAATTTGTTTTTAAATTATTTTCCCGTTTCCAAATTCGAAAAAGGAACAAAAAGCGCTGCTGCTTGCTGCCGCTGCTGCTGCTGCTGCTGCTGCTGCTGTTGGCTTCTGTTTGCCTTCCTTCCGCGGCTAAAAGTCCTTGAAATGGATTTAAATGCCTCATTTAACTTCTTTTGAATTCATTGGGTACAAACAAAACCCCAAAAAGAGAAATTTCCGGGCCGCACTGCTGCTGCTGCTGCTGCTGCTGCTGCTGCTGACCACTGGAGCAGCAGCACTGAAACGCTCAGCTGTAGTGACACCTCAACACCCAAGAAAAAGTGCGCCTTTTTGCTTCTTCAATTCATTTCTTTTTTTATTTTTAAATTAATCCAAAAAAAGACAAAGTCTACGCTTGGAACACAATGCCTACACGCTAGCCGCAGCTGCGCAGCCAGTGTCACCTCGCTGCTGCTGCTGCTGCTGCTGCTGCTGCTGTTGCTGCTGGCGCATTGTTCCTTTTCGTTTAGTTGCTTATTCAGAATCTACACGAAATTAGCTTTTATTTTTTTCGTACTAGCGATTCTTAAAGCCGAAGCCCTAAACCGTAAACCCTAAACCCCAGTTCAGCGGTGCCATGGCGCCAGCGCTCGCAGCTGCCCAGTGGACTTCGCCCAATAAACCCTAAACCCTAAACCCTGAATTTTCACCCAGAAACCCTAAACCCTAGAGTGTAGAGCGACCTAATCAGGGCTTAGGGTTTAGGGTTTGAGGAGCAAACCCCAGCCTACAAGCCCTGCTGCAGGCGCAAGCTACAAACAGTAAACCCTCTAAATATAATCTTCAATAATCCTAAACCCTGGCTACCTTAGGGTTTAGGGTTTAGGGTATAGGTTTTAAAAGCTTTAATTTGAATGGCTCAGCTGCAGACACAGCAAATCCATATCCTAAACTCTCAGCCCTAAACACTAATCCCCAAACCCTAAACCCTAAAATCTAAACCCTAGACCCGAAACCCTAAACGGCTTATTTCCCTTTTGCAAATCCTTTAAAAATCCCTAGACTTTAGCAATCAAAAATAAGCTACTGCTGTAGCTGCTGCAGCATCTGCAGCAGCAGCAGCTGCAGCTGCATTAACAGTTGCAGCAGCAACTGCAGCAAGAGCTGCTGCAGCAGCAGCAGCTGCAGCAAATACAGCAGACGCTACAGCAGCTACAATTTCAGATGTAGCAACGGCTGCATGAGCGGCAGCAGCCGCAAAGAGCTGCAGCAGCAGCTGCAGCAGCAGCAGCAGCAGCAGGGTTTAGCGAGCTGCTAAAGCCTCTCTTAAGGCTCCAAATTTTGTCTCTTCTGCTTCGGACAAGATTTGCTGCAGCAGCTGCACTTCTTTCCTGAGGCCAAAGCACGCAAAAACGCTAAACCCTAAACCCTAAAACCCTAAACCCTAAATCCTAAACCCTAAATCCTAAACCCTAAACCCTAAATACAGAGCCCTAAAATCCAGGCGCCACGTTGAGGCTCGGCCTCGAGCCCTCATCCACAAGCTTAAGACCGTAATCCAGGAGCCCAAACCCTAAACCCTAAACCCTAAACCCTAAACCCTCACCTGGTGAAGCTCTGGGCGTGCTGCTGCAGCAGCGGCTCGAATTTCTGCAGCAAATTATCGCAGCTGAAAGCTGCAGCTGCAAACCCTCGAAACAGCGTCAAGGCGTCGGAGACCTGAAAACCCAAACCCTAAACCCTAAACCCTAAACCCTAAGCCCTAAACCCTACTGCAGAGCTACGTTAAATGAAACCCTAAACCCCGCGAGGTCTTCTGATGGCCCAAGGGTTCGGCAAGCACGCCGCAACGACCCAGGGTTTGGTGTTTAGGGTTTGGATATTAGGGTTTAGGGTTTAGGGTTTACGGGAAAGGGCTCCTTAGCCGCCAAAGCTCTTTCTTCAATTTGTTGAAATAAAAGTGGCAAACGAAGGCCGCAGCCATTAAACGCTAAGACGGCCCTGCCCAGCTCTGCAGCAAACCCTAAACCCTAAACCCTAAACCCTAAACCCTAAACCCTAAGTCCTGAGGCCTCTGTTCTAGCAAGCAAACCCTAAACCTTGTCGTGGCCTCTGAGAGATGCGCTGCTCTAAGCCCTAGCCACTACCAGCGGAATAGGACCCCTCAAGGAAAGGCTAGGGTTTAGGGTTTAGGGTTTGGGGTTTAGGGTTTAGAGGACCTGCTGGGGTTAGAGAGGAAACGGAAGCCCCAACCTTCCGCCATACAAGGCGAGCCAGCAGCTGCAGCTGCAGCTGCTGCTGGTGCTGCTGCTGGTGCTGCTGCAGCTGCTGCTGCTGGTGCTGGTGCTGCTGCACTGTTGCTGCCTCCAGTATCCGCACTACGTGGCTCCCTGCAACGAAACACCCAGCCGTAAACCCTAGACCCTAAACCCTTAACCCTAAACCCTAAATCCTAAATCCTAAACTGCCGACGCGTAGCCGATACCCCAGCCCCTAAAGCCTGCAGGTAAGAGTGCAAACAGCACGCAGGACCCAAGTAGGGTTTAGGGTTTAGGGTTTAGGGTTTACCTGAGAGCTGATGCAGGACCCTGGGAATGCGCTCGTTGAGGTGTACGTACAGCTGGGAATATGCTGCTAGGGTTTTGAGTCTGTTTGACAAAATCGAAAATAAAATAAAAATACTCAAACCCTCATTTAGGGTTTGGTTTCCAAGAGCTGCTGCTCTTGCTGCTGCGACGGCTGCTGCAGCGGGAGCCGCGTCCCCTGTTGCTGCTGCTGCTGCTGCTAGTGCTGCCTTCCGCTGCTGCTGTTGCTGCTGCTGCAGCTGCTGCTGCTGCTGCTGCTGCTGCAGACGACGCTGGGCCCCAGGGCGTTTAGGGGAGGACTTTAAACCTCCGAATGCCGAAGCCAGTGCCACGAAAAACCCTAAAACGCAAATCCTAAACCCTAAACCCTAAACCCTAGACCCTAAATCCTCTGTAATGAGCCACTTTGTCTGGGGGCTTGGAGAGAAGGCGTGCATCGCCCCAGCTGCGTCAACGCCTTAAAGCCCAAACTCTAAACCCTTACCTTAAACCCTAAACCCCAAACCCTAAACCCCAAACCCTAAACCCTAGCTTGCCTGTGTCCCTGTTGTGGGCCTG